GCTCAGAGTTAGCCTGGTTCTTCTGTCTCCCCGAAAAGGTCTCACCTCGAATCGTCTCATATCGAAGCGTCTCATCTCGAAGCGTCTCATCTCGAATCGTCTCATCTCGAATCGTCTCATCTCGAATCGTATACGTCGGAAACTCGAATCGTCGATGGAGGGGCCGCACTAAAGCATCAAGGTGTGTCGGCAAGTTAGCACCATCGTCCAGAAGCGGGCGGCGTCCATGCCGACTTACTCTTTTTTCATGAGGGTTTCCAAGCTTTCCTAGTCAGGAGCGACCTCGAGTGAACCGACGGGAAAGGAAGGAACCTAAGAGATCGACCGAACTATAGAACGAGATCAGAACTCCAACAGAACTCCTGGAAGACCTGGCTGAACCGTAGGAAATCCTGGAACCCCGGAGGAGGTGCCGCAAGCCAGTATGGCCGTGAGCATCCAATCCAGTACAATCCGGTCCAATCCGGTCCAATCCAATCCAATCCAGTCCAATCCAATCCATCCAATCCAATCCAATCCAGTCCGTGATCCTGGAGTTGGAAACATCTCGAGTACGCTTCCACGAGGTGAGACACCCTTCCCACAAAGTAGGGGCATGTTTTCCACGGCCAAAGACCGCTTCTGGTGCCTCGCTTTGCCTCGCTTCCGCGGACCGTCAACAACGTTGGAACCAACATGGTCCAATCCATGTCTCCAGCAGGAAGATAGACCTGGGCGGCGCCTAGGGTACGCTTCCACGAGGTGAGGCACCCTTCCCACAAAGTAGGGGCATGTTTTCCACGGTCCGAGACCGCTTCTGGTACCTCGCTTTGCCTCACTTCCACGTACCATCATCGGTGCCAGAGCCAGGCCTGGACCAATCCGTCCGAAATCCGTTCAGAAAGGAAGACCTGTGCGGCGCTTCCGGTCCGCTGGCGCGTTCCGTCCTCAGCGCCACGAGCCAGGTTAGGGCCAATCCGTCCGAATGCCGACCAGAAAGGAGGACCTGTGCAGTGCTTCCGGTCTGCTGGCGCGTTCCGTCCTCAGCACCACGAGCCAGGTTAGGGCCAATCCGTCCGAATGCCGACCAGAAAGGACGACCTGTGCGGCGCTTCCGGTCCACTTGCGCGTTCCGTCCTCAGCGCCACGAGCCAGGTTAGGGCCAATCCGTCCGAATGCCGACCAGAAAGGAGGACCTGTGCAGTGCTTCCGGTCCGCTGGCGCGTTCCGTCCTCAGCACCACGAGCCAGGTTAGGGCCAATCCGTCCGAATGCCGACCAGAAAGGACGACCTGTGCGGCGCTTCCGGTCCGCTTGCGCGTTCCGTCCTCAGCGCCACGAGCCAGGTCAGTGCCAATCCGTGCGGCAGGGGAAAACCAGGGACCTAGCAAGAACCAGAAAGGAACCATCCAGAGGCGAAACCGAGAGCCAGAGCCGCAGCACCCAGGCAGACCTTGCCGACGGTGCTCCACGAAGGGAGGGACCGTTGAGCAGAGCGCACAGGGGCCACGTCAATGTCGCAGCCATCCTCAGGGAAGGAACCTGGAGCCAAAGGAATGTCGGAGGAGCAGGAGGTCGAAACAGGAGCAGGACCTTCGGTCAAAAGAGTGGACTGCGCCGAAGCGAAGGAATCCTCTTCGGAAGCCTCATCTTCGCCCTGGGGCTCAGAATCAACCTTGTCGGAGGACCCTTCCTCGGTCGCGGGAGGCAAAGGAGTGTCATCGGGAAGAGGCGCCAATACTGGGGCACGGAACAGGGCATCGCCCTTGGACAGTTGCCAGAGTCGGACCTTCTCCAGAAGGGGGTCGTGGAACGGGCGCTCCTCCAGAGGCTCGATCTCGGTACGGTCGAATGGAGTCGCCCACCACATGTCGTCCGCATAAGGAATGGAAGAGTCGGTCACGGGGGCCTTCTCGGGTGAAGGAGTGTCGGTAGGCAGAGGAGCCAGGACAGGCATGCGCAAGAGCGCAGCACCCTTGGCCTTCTGCCAGGCGTCCACCCGACGGTCAACGTCGCTGCCATACTTTTTCCAGTGCGCAATGCGCTCGGCGAAAGTAGGCAGCGACTTGATGTCGGGGATCGAATGAGTGTCGGTGGAGTCGTCCGTTTCAAGGTCAGGTTCCTGCTCCTGCTCCTGCTCCGAGTCGTCCGAAGGGAAATCGAAGTCCATGGCAGCGAATTTGGCCTCGAAGCCCAGGGAAACCGAGACATCGCCGATGGCGGACCAACCGTCAAAGGCGTTGTCGAGGTGTTCCTTGGCCTCCATGACCTCTTCGAAGGGCATGGCGATATCGGGATCCTCGCGGGCGTCCCAGGAAGCAAAGGCATCATCGATGCACTTGGGTAAACGAGTGGAAGGCGGCCGGTAATCCCACAACTCGGCCTGGGGTTGGGAGAGGACCTGGTCCGCAATGTCGGCAGCGCGATATTGGCGCACATGGTTGATGAGCGAAGGCCAAGCCTGTCGAGCCATACCCATCTGCCTGGTTGCCTTGACCCTGGGGATGTGCTTGGTGAATACCTGGTAAAAAGCGGTCGACCGGTGGACGTCCTCGAGTTCGCGTAGCGCACGCGTCAAGCGCACCTTGCGGGCGAGATCGGTCCAGCAGTCCACGACGAGAGAGTCCACGTCCTTCTCAAAGGTAGCCTTGGATTGGGTCGCCGAGTGAACGAGATCAAACCAGGGATTCCTATTGTCAGGGGTGCCCAACTGCGAAGCAGAAAGGTCCGAGACTCCAGAAGACCGGGTCGAATCCGTCACGGAGCCGGGAGGGAAAGGAAAGGCGCGGTTCGGGTTGCCAGGATAGCCAGGGGCGTCGCCATGAACCCGATCCAGGAGCCAGGACTGCACACTGGGCACCGGCTGGCGCTCAATGTGGGGAATCCCGGCAGGCAAATGAGCGTGAGGGGTCCATCCAGGTGGGAACCCTTTCGAAGGAACGGCTGGAACGATGGGCCGGCGGTGCTCCGCGCGGCGATCCATGTATCCGGAAGAACTGAGGGTCAGTTCGACCTTGGGAGGGAGGGGACACCAGATGCTGGAAAGAGTCAGCCTCTGGAAGTGGGAGGACGTGAAGTGTGATGTGACGAGAGACATGAAAAGAGGAAGGATAGAAGGCATCGAGGGTTATGTGACAAGGATAGGGCGAACAGTGAGGGAACACATGGTGGGCAATGGAGGGGATAACATGATGTTGCATGGTGTGGATGGATGATGACGATGAGGATGAATGGTGAAGATGAAGGATGGATGGTGAAGATGAAGGATGGATGGTGAAGACGAAAGATGAATAGTGAAGACGAAAGATGAATAGTGAAGACGAAGGATGAATAGTGAAGAGGAATGAAGATGAAAATGTGAGTGGAGGATGGAATGGGGATAGTGGCACTGAGATGGGATGGAACAGTGAATGTGTCATGGGTAAGGTGAGAGTGCTAGATGATGGTGGGTATGACAAGATGGTGGGTAAGGTGAGTGAGACAAGGTGGTGAAGGTGGTGTGGAGCTGTACGCAAAGTGGACCCTCCATGTCTTGGTGCCAACGACATGTTGACAGGGGGGTAGCTGACGATGAGGGTGGGCAACGTCGCTGTTGACTGACCGTGGAAGAGGCGAAAGCCAAGGTAGGCAAGAAGGACTGGCAAAGAGCGAGCCGAAGAGGAAGCCGAGCGTCGATGTACGTGTTTGTTGTTGCGGCCATCCAGACATGTCGCGTCGCGTCGCGACCAGAGGGAAACACCAAGGCACAAGTGGCGATTTGGTGTCGAGCAGCAGTGGCGACCAAATCACGCAAGGGCTCCAAAACATAGAGAAAAGAAAATATGAAAAAAAGAGGAGAAGACGAAGAGAAAGAAACAAAAAGAATACCACTCACCCCTTGACGAACCACCCGACCGCAGGGAAGACGGGCTTCGCTGGGACGGGCGAGGACGTGGTCCAGGACCGGGCAGAGGCGGAAGAGGCGGAACGGGAAGAAGAAAGGCGAGAGGAGACGGAACGGGAGGAAACTCGAACGACGCGCCGTACGGCTTGCTGAGCGAGGGGGACCATGGCAGGACTTTCACCTGTGACCGTGTCGTAATCCAAGGAATCCGAGGAATCCAGGGAATCGGACGCAGCCGACGCATTGGGACTGATACCCTGACCAGCATCGTATGATGCGGCCGACGCAGAGGGACTGATACCCTGACCATCGCCATAAGACGAGGCCGACGCTGTCGAAACCTGTGCAGACATCAAAGACATTGCAGGGGGTTAGGACTCACCTGAGGAGGAGAAGGAAGGAAGGATTCGCCCAGAGGGCGCGCTTGGGAGATGCTTCTTTTATGCACCAAGAGCAACCGGCCACCGCCGTGCAATCAGTAAAGTACCATCGGACGTACCGCCCAAACAGGACAGAACCATCCAGAAGAATCACCGAAAAAGGATGGGCAGGCCCAAACGGGACTGTCCTTATTTTTTTTTCTCCATGATGGCAGACGCGTCAGGACTTACAGAGTCCCGAACGGGAAGGAACGCTAGCCTTGCATGTCTCAGCCCTATGAACTTGCCAGCGATCGCCTCTTCCGTGATCCCCAATGCGATTGTGTTGCTATTTTTAGTTGAAGACTTTTGCATGGCAGCTTCATTCCATCTGAAGCCGTCATCTGATCCTTGGGTTCTGCAAAGCGTTGCGCGTTGCGTTGTTCGTTGTTGAAGTTTGGTGCGCCTGCTGTGGTGGGAGGACCTCGAACAAGGTCGTGCATAAAGTGTCGAGGCGATGGCGAGAGAGTATGCGGCATGCAGAGCCATCAACCATCGTCCGCGCAACCCATCTTGCGTTTGTCAGTGGAGCTTTTTTATACATGCTGGCATCGGCCGATGAATTGTCTGAAGCATTTCCTCGCGCAACTGTTGTTGATGCGCGCTGGGCGATCACCAAACTAGACCCTCTGCGTGTCTTCTGACCGGGATGACTCACTGCACTTGCCTTGCGCGCCCATGTCAAAACTTTCACGTACCCAAGCAGATGAGGTGATCCAAATGATGATGTTCTTCACTGTCTACGCGTGTTGCGCCTCGCTCAGCGAAACGGCGATGCCTTCCCTGGCGTCAGCAACGACCCGCCTGCACCTGGCGGCCGCCTAACCGGTGTCGTGGGACCTGGGCCGCCTTCTATGGGTAGCGGAGGCGTTTCTGTCCTCTGCACTTCCTGATCACCCGCCTTGGGAGCCCGGAAACCAACATCTCGCCCCACATTGTATATCTCGTTGATCTTTTGCTCCCACACGCCCGCCGAAACATACTCTTGGTACTTCCGATACAGCCTCAGTGCTGTCCGCGAGTCCTCGATCGAGTCGTGCGTTTCGTTTTGGATGTTCTCCCGCAATACGATCCAAGCAAGGAACGCCAACGAAAGCTTTCGCAGGCGCGTGTGTAAGTAGTACAGCTCGATCGTGTCGATGACCTGGGCCTTGGGTATATGGATGTTGATGACTCGGAAATCTTGCTTCAATCCGTGGCCCAGGAACTTGCAGCCGAGATTGACCAACATCCACAGCTTCTTGTAGGCCACCTTCAACGGTACGAGATTGTGTTTCGACAGGCGTGGGTTGAGGTCCACCTCGGTAATGCCCGAGAAGGCGGTCAAATAATCGACAATGGGCTCCCGAATCAAGATATAATCATCGACAAAGGGCTCTCCTTCCGCCTCTCCTTCTCCGCGAATGACAGACGTACGTGCGAGGGCGTATACCTTGGGCCGAATCGTTTCCCGCTCGCCCTCGGAGTTCATCTCAATCTCCGGTTGTCGCACAGCCACAAACTCGGTATCGAGTGCAATGATGCTGCCAGGACCCGGCGGCTCTGTCGCACCATCGAGCGTCCGGTATGTCTTGCTGTCGTGGAGGTGACTGGCTGAATGTCAGGAGGTGCTACAAAAAGAGTTACTCCAAACGGGAACGAGAATACTGACCTTGAATCCGTGAATAGGAGCGAGGTGTCAATCTTTTGTTTCCACGTCGTGTCCATCATATTGTTCGCCTCCTTCACTTGAAACGTCAAGACCGATGGGATCTTCCAGTTCGCGTTGAAAGAGAGAGCCTCCTCCTTGCTCACCGACCGAACCAAGAAGTCATTGAATAAATGCCACTGACTCGCCTCGGGGGCTTCTGGCTGGCAGTGGCCGACTGGAGAGTGTTAGCGCAGTCGGGGGCCTCTCCGTCACAGGATCTTACCATTGATCATGCCAACCATGTGCGGCTTTTGGCCAGGGCCAGCCTCGACCTCCATCGTCATACCAATCAAAGAGTAGACGGTTATGTTGTGGATCCCCCTTTGCAGATGGAGCTTCAGATCTTCACCTTCGTAACAGAAGAATTGGCCATGGTCCACTATGACGCCAATCTCCTCTGGAAGGAAGCCTGGGTTGGCCCAAAGCCTACGGTGCTCAGGGGTCTTGACCGCCGTGTTGAGCATGAGCACCTGAGGTACACTGCTGATGGTTTTCCTCGAAGCATTTGGCTGGTAACGTTGGCATTGGGGACACCACCCTTTCGATGGGAATTCCCGCTCGACGCTCATTTTGAGCACCTGCGAAAACGTGACCTTGGGGGCCTTCTGATTTCGCATCGGGGCCTTCTGTCGCACGCGGTCAGCATGGGATTCGAGAAGCCACACATGAAACTTACAGCGTTAGGATATATCAGTTCGTTGACATTGGTAGGGCTGGGGCGAGTGTATTCACTTCGACAATTCATGCACCTTATGTACTCGGTAGCGGCGGTTTGAACGGCCTGTCTCGAGTCAGCCTACGAAATTTGCACACGGAAACCGAGGAGGGCCCGACCTGAAGCATGAGATTGATGCCTGGAGAAGTAATGCGGAAATCTTCAACAATCTTGTCGAGTAAGAACCGTGTCAGACGCTGCAGCATGGCTGGCAGTGGGCCGCCGTTGAGGTCTTCCTCCAGCAGACACAGAGCCGCCGCTAAAGACAGTCAGGGTGAGCATTCGATCAATGAGCCGTCAAGGAACTGTCCAGATGACGTACCCTGAGGCTGGTGGCTCAGCGCTTTCAATAAGTTGGTCGCCTGACAGATGGAGCCTTCTGCCTTCTCTAACATGTCGAACAGAAAACCAAGCTCGCACAACAAACATGTCTCAACGATGCATGCAGTCGCAGTATGCTGTAAAGCCAGATTCCGAATCAAAGGCGTGAAATGCATTACTTGCAAGAGCGCGTTTGCATACGAGTTGGCAATGTGGATCTCTAGTCCGGAGTAGGCCGTCCTGTTGTAATACCTGAAGGGCAATGGTTAGCTGACAAGGCATGAAAATTGAATAGGAGTGCATACCCGAAGTCAAAGTCGTCAACACCAAACTTGCTGTATTTGATCTCGACATTACGATACATTGGAGGGCACTCCGTCTTGCGGTCGCCGCCCATCTTCGCTGCAGCATCGTCAACCTCATCTTCGGCGCCAGCTGCCTGCCCGGGAGTTTTGGAGGATTCCCTCGCCTTTTCGCTGAGGAACTTGGGGGCTTGAATGCCGGTCACAGTTGTCTTGTCGGTCTTTCGAGTGTCTTCGACTTGGTTGCGCCGCAGCCCACGCGTATTGGGCCCATAACGGCCGACATCTCTGTGGCCTTGAGTGTGGAGAGAAACTGGGGGTCAAGAGTTGGAGGCGGCGCCCCGACATCAGAAACCATATCAGGCCATGCTGAAAGCAGTGGTTCCCGGTAATACGGCATGCCGACCATATTGAGAGGACTCCATTATGTCAGCTTCTCGTCTATTACGCGTCCAGGATCTTTGGCTTACGTCTCAGTAGTCCAGTCAATGGCGGGCGCAGGCGCTTCAGGACCGGCGAATTCAGTCGGCTGTGGAAAGTCGACAAACCGAATCTTCGAGGGGCTGCCCCAAAGATGAATCTGAGAGGCCGAGTCGGCCAGCGCCACTGCTTCGCCCGAATACGCAATTTCGAACATGGTGACGAGCGAGTTGACCACGTTGATTTGCCGCACATTGCTCGTGTGGGGGTTCATCAAGTCGACCACGTGGAGCTGGCCAGTTTGCGACACAACAATACTGGTAGTGGACATACGTGGATGCATCCGCACGAAGGCTCCTCCTGCAGGAAAAGGAATAGGGGCCATGGATGTCATACGCTTTATGTCGAAGACGTTGAGAAACGAGTCGGGCATGTAGCTCTGACTCTGGCGCAGCGAGAATCCGCAGGTAACGATGAAATCGTGCTGCGCGTCCATGTCGCTGATCAGTGCAGAATGCGCCTTCCAGCTTCGCACGACCGAGTAATTGAGAGGATCAATCATATTGATAAGACCATCCTTGGTGGCCGCGCAGATATAGCGGCTCTTCTTCATGATCTGGTAAGAGTATTCGGTCGAGATCTAGCACGGGTCAGCGGCAGGACCCCACACAGGGCGCAGAACGCCGTACCTCCTTGGTGATCTCTCCCTTGTTGACGTCAATGACAAACATCTTGTCCTGGAAGCCAGCCACCAGGATCTCGGCCTGGCCCTTGGACGTGAAATTCATGCATCGTAAGTCTTTGAATTCGTCGCTCCTGTCGGACGTCAGCTGATGCGCAATTGCAGCCGTGTGGCAGCATGCTGAGAGCTATACTGAAGATGCCAAAGTGGCGGTCCCCTTCGCAACGCCATATGAATATCTCGCGCTCCCAAAGCAATGACGCCCTTTTCGCCAACAAGAATCTGCCGTACATCGCCATGGGTCGAAAAGGCTTTGAAAGAGGTATATCGCTGAAGCTCGGTGCCGTAGAAAGATGTCACGCGACCCTGTGACCAAGTCAGAGAAGATTCGGGCGGATTGAGAGCAGCCGAAGCTCACATAGTCGTTGCCTGTCCAGAGGAGTTCTTGTTGAGGGTCAAACGTCATTGTTGTGACGGGTGTTGCCATAGCCCGTACACCCGGAGGCGGGAAGGGAATACGGGCGACCTGGGGAGTCGAACAGGTCAGCAACCGTTTTCGCTATCGATTTCAAGCATGCCCGCCCATGCAGACACGGAACGAGGCCATCGCCGGACTGCCTGGGTAGCTCGACGCGTGTGCCCCGCGCAAAGGGACGCGCATTGCATACCTGATCCCAGTCTCCGTCCATTTTGGCTTCGGTTTCCTCGCCCCAATGAACATATCTTCGGAAGGAGGGAAGCAAGAGGTAGGGTATGCCGCCTAGCAGTGCGATAAGATGTTGTCGTTGGGTGAATTCGATTGCGCGCGTGCGAGACAGTCCCGCGGACTGGTCAGTCGAGGGTAGTCAGTCAACTCGGGCTCGGAACGGCGACGAGGCTATGGAGCCGACCTCGAATGCATGGCGGGGAGCTGTCGCTGTCGCAAGGGGGGGCTCACCTCCGTCGCATCTCCCTTTCTGCCGATGTTCACCCGGACCCCGCTTGCGACTGGAAGCTTTTTTGGAAGCAGTGGAAAGGTTGTGGTAAAGAGGGCATCCGAGTACAAAGTCTGGTCGCGATAGCGAGGAGATTTGATCTCGAGAATACTTTTGGGCTCGTCAATTGCCGTATTGGCGAATACGTGATTCTCTCGAGGTTATATGCCAGTAGCTTGGGTTGTTGTAGCAAAAGGTGCTGTCACTCTCAGACTACTCGCAACTTGTGAAATTGGTCGTAGATGTACTCAACCTGTCAGTCAAAGGGTCATGACAAAGTCTACGGGCCTGATCACGAGACAGTCCAGACAGACCTATTTAAGGATGTTCACGCTTGACTTTCGCAACTCATGTCATGGATATCATTCTTTGCTACCAATTACAGCAATCTAATCACCTCCCAACCGTGCTGCGGCAGCAATTTTCATTACCGAATCCATCGTCCCCCGCGGAATTCGTCGCTTACAAAGAGCCGGCGGCCTTGAAGTGGTCGAGGGCCTCCTTGACGCGGACGGTCATGGTCTTCTCGGACTCGCGGACCCAGACACGGGGGTCGTACTTCTTCTTGTTGGGCTTGTCGGCGCCCTCGGGGTTGCCGACCTGGGTCCTGCGGGTGGGGGTTAGCGACGGGAAGCAGAACACGAAGCGCCGAATCGAACACAATGTCGGAGGCGGGAAAAC